AAACATATAAGGAAAGCTATATAAAGGGCAGTTAATATAAACTGGGCAGTTTATATATAAACTGTTAATTTCTAGAGATGATATTAAACACAATACAAACATGGAATTCACTATATTCATATTTTTTATAATATGTTTTATAAGTCTAAATTCCTTTTAATATTCCTCTGATATACAAATCTTCTGAAAACTTTAATATTATCAAGGTTTATAACCGACTTAATATTAGAATTGAGACTCTTCAGGTATTTTTATACTACAGTAGCAATTAACACACAGTACATCGATTGTTTTTGTTCTTGAAAATTGCCCTTTCCACGCGCTCTTTCAACCATTAGAAACATAGTAGCGTTAAACGGCTAAATTATGCTGGAGGAACCACAAATGTCTCTACATTAAAGCTTTTTTAAACTGACACAGAGGTGAATGGACAAGATTACAATTACTGTAATTGTGACATTTTTCTTCGACAACAGCACTCTTCGCGGCTCCTGCCGGCTCTATACTGACCCTGTTTCACACGCAATATTTTCCTTATTCAGTCACTAACACACCTTTTGTATCCCACTATGAAGAACATCAACACTTCCACCAAAACCCAGAAAAAATCATCATTTTATAGACGAAACAATAAAATATTTCAAACAATTTGTTTCGCTTTTGCCAACGCATGCGCAGTTCGGTCGACATACAGTTTTCTGTATGTCTGAGATGGATTATCCCAGAGCCTTCGTTTCCTTCCCAAGGATCGCAGGCTCGGGGAACGAGATTGGATCAAATCATTACCAATATGCCAGAGCTATACAATAATGTTCTACATCTGCCACCGATCGGACGTTCTGACCACCAATGCTTACTATTCACCTCAAAGTTGAAACAAAAGGTTAAACCGGTTTCCGGAAAAGTGCGCCTGACGAAATGTAGTAACCTAATTGAACTTGGCATACATATGAATAGCGAGTACTGGGAAACAGTCTATGATGCCAGAGAGGTTGACGACAAAGTAAATGCGTTCACTTGTACTATCGTGCGCATGATTGATAAATAACTGCCTATAAACGCACTATATGTATCCATCCCTCCGACAAGCCATGGATGACACAGAGTATAAAGCTTGAAATATACAGGGGGCCGGAGCCACAGGATCAGCGGGGGCCGCTGCCCCGGTTGCCTAAACAGTGCAGGGGCAGCACGGGGGCATCCAATATGATAGATATTTTTAGTGTAAATTTTATACATTTATCAGTCCTAACCAGGAGCAGTTGTGAAAAATGCAACTACATGCCCTCTGGCAGGAATCTTACTATTGTATAATCTTATGACATTTGAATAGCTATAATATATTACGCAATGTGAGGTTATATTTTCGTTAGCTTCGGATAATTGCACATATATTTCTAGCTTTAGCACTGCGCAAACGCATTTAGAACTGTACATTTTCCACACCGTTTCTATTTTTCATCGAATGAATAATGATAATAATAATAATAAAAATAATAATAATAATGGAAACTTTATTTTGACATTTTATGTATATACAATTATAAATCTCTCTAATTAAGGTAATTTATAATTGACTACTTGAAATATTAATTATTGATAAAACTATATTACAGGTATAAAACTATATAAGGGAAAGCTCATTCTTAAATGTTCATCAAGTCCGGATCGGACCAATCCTTGTTTCTACAACAAAATATATAGTACGTTGTTCTGATGGCGATGGACATTATTTTCTTAACACAAAA